TGGGCGGACACCCTCACGGTCTCAGTCGCTGCATTCTGTAGACACAACGGGAATAACTCCGTTTAAAATAACCGCGTTAATAAAAAAATATTTCTTTCTGTAACGAGCAAACTAATTAATTACCTTCTTCTTTTATCAAAACGTCGTTTCTGTTACTGATAAGGAAATGCGTGCGTTAAGCAGCGCGGTGTGTTGAAGCTGTCATCATCAGCTGATCAGGAGCTAAAGAGGCAGATGTTTTCATCCAAGAGCATCACGGCCCGTGAAGAACGAGGAAGACGTGATGAATAGTCTACGGCTGCAGACCCCCCCTGCAGATTTGTTGCTGCAGCAGCGAATCTGCGGATCTGCAGCCGTGCCCTTGGCGTGACAGCGGGACGTCCCGAAGGTCCACTCACCTGTTCACCGCTCAGACGTCCTGATCGTCTACCTTCCTAGATCATCCAGCTGTAACCTGTTCCTCATGTCTTTAGTCCCGCTGTAACACTGATACATCTGTCTCAGACGGCATGGAGCTCAGGTGTTATCAGAACTACCTGTGTGTGTTTACCACCCAGCTTCAGCTCTTCTGTGGTTGGGTCTGACCCAAGTTAGTAAATGTAAGTCCTCCATCAGGCTTGTGCCTCTTCTAGTGTCATTTGAAAGGATTTTATTTATTTATTTAACCGTTACTAGATTACCAGCAACAGAAATGCTAGTAAAAACACACAATTATGTGAAGCTGGAAAAATTAGAATACTGTGCAAAATTACATTTATTTCTGTAATTTAACAAGACTGAGAGACCATTTAAAGGCTCAGGAACCTTTACAGGTGTTTCTATTTGCAATTTTAAATTTTAGCTGATTGGGTTCTTGTTAAATATCACACAGAGACCTTTTAATAGTCTAGATTAGTGTAATGTTCCTGTTAGTAGTTCCTCCTGTTAAGTGCATATTTGTTTAAATTATTCAGGTTTATATAAAACATTTGGACATACATTTTATTATGTTCAGTCATTAGTCATTTATATTTTACTATTGTAGTAATTCTTGCATTCTTTAATGAAAAAAGTAACTAAGTAGTTACTTTTGTTGGTAATTAGTCACTTTTATGATCTTGTAACTCAGTTAGTAACTGAGTTACTTTTTTGACAAAGTAATCAGTAACTATAACTAATTACTTTTTTAAAGTAGCGTTCCCAACACTGGTTATTGGAGCCTATGGAAATGAATTGTCCAGTATATATGTTGATGGTCGGTACTGTTGGCCCAAAAAGAATGTCCACCAACCACGGTACGCCTGATAGAGAGCCCAGCAGTGGCACTGATGCACATTAATAGTTATTAATGAAATATCTCACTAAAGAGCCTCCAGTTCCGATGATAACGCTAGCATGAATGTACAAAGATGAAAAACTAAAACGTGGTCCTACATGACAAATCTAAAATTCCAGTCATTAAAAATAAATATTTAACTTTCCACCATAAAACTCCTAAAATTACTATGGTGCAAGTGATGTTTCATTTCGTGTCATGTTTTGTAAGTATGCTAAACTTTGACAAGTGGGTTTCTGGTGATCTATATATTGACTTAATACTAACCAAAACCATGATTTACATTCTTAAGAGTGATAAACTCACCCTTCAGAAGCTTTCAAGTTGGAGGATGAAGAGTGATTGTCTTCTTTTTCTTCTTCTTCAACGTAACTGGCTGTTCAAGTTGACAACTTCAAAAATGCGCTTCAAAGGAAATACTGTATTAGACCAGACCGGTTTTTTGCCGTAATTTTCCAGCTGTCGTTATTCAACAGAAAAAACATCAGATTTAACATTATCCTACCGTAATTTGGAAAAGCGGTATGTTACTGTTGGAATTCTGCAGTAAATTTACAGAAATTTCTGAGTGTACGAGTTGACAAGAGATCCCCGAATCCAATCACCCTTCCAGCTAAGCTTAGCTGACTGACTGACAAAGGGGTTCTAGCGCCCTATTTATAGGCTGGCAGGATGACGTAACAAAGCGACGTAATAAAGCGTAAACAGGCAGCGTCACGTGCAGTGCCACGTGCGTTTCTAGCGTTTGTGAGATCATCATAAAGGTGTGTGTGTGTGTGTGTGCGCGCGCGCACTCTTTGACTCATAAATATAATGTGAAAAAATAAGTCACGCAACATTTTCCACAAATGCACACGCTAATTCTGAAGTTCACACTCTGTGGTTCACAAATATAATTTGTAAGAACACTTGTAATATAAACTCACAGATCATACGAATTGCTGAACGTGCATTCACGAACAGCTTCTCATTTGTGAACCTTCCTGCATTCGTGAGAGAAATCGGTGTGCTGAATTTTGAGACACTCCTAACGTCGCAGATCAACAAACGTCACCATTGGCTAATGAATATGTCAATCAAATATATGATTCTGCCAGGGCTGTTCGCTTTCAGCCAATCATGTGGCTCCTTTTGTTACGGAACAGATCTGCTGTGCGCATGCGTATTGCAGTTCACACGGCAGAGCGGGATGGAACGGTCACAATCTGTGAGTAACAGTTTTATCTTATTCCCTCGTTGTAATTGATGCAATGTTATAGAATTATGAGTAGAAGCGTTCTTCATTGTCAAGTAAAATGTTTTATGTTCAATTCAGTCCAGACGTTACGTGAAGTCTGGTCCATTCTTCATCTAATTTAACATCAAGCTAAACTCAAGCGAACATTTGTTTAGTTAGCGTGTCTAGGTACCATTTTTTTAGGCCACGGTTGTCAAACTCAAGCCCTTGGTCTATTTTTATTTGCCCCGCGAAATCAAATATCAAATATATAATATTAAAACTGGCCCGCCGGGTGATTTTGCTGATAAGACTACTAATCCCACAGTGCTATGCGGCGTTAGCGCGCAAGACGAAGCAAGCCCTCTTTTATGTTTAGGATCATTAGCATCCATGCTAGTAGAATCAGCGTGTGCAGCGTTACCCTCAGTCTTAAACAACTGAAGATACTCTTCTAAGCGCCCAGTTTACTCAGCGAGTTTCCGACTCTGAACGCCTAGAAAGAAGGTATCTGGCTGGAGCAGGTGACCATCAGAGTGGAGAGAACTGAGCTTGAAACATTTAATTGTCATGAACTTTTTCTGCTCCAAAGCATGAAAGTTAATAACTGAGATATTTTCATAGAAGATAATTGCTATTTTTGGTTTTTGTTGTTGGCCTGTAAAAAAAAGATTCAACTTACTCTAAAATGGGAACTGGACAGACTACAAATTGAAGAATAGAATAGAAAATCCCTTTATTGTCCCTCAGTGGGGAAACTGTGATGTCACAGCAGCAATAACGTTCATGACAGAAGCCAAACAGGAGAGTAAAACATAATAATAAAGAGTAAACTAAAAGAAAACATAAAACAGACAAACTTAAAATATCCAAAAGGTAAAACAATCTAAATACTGAATATGTACACATTGTAAGGAGTAAAAAGAGTAAATAAAAATTGAGACATAAGTAACGAGTGATGTGTTTTATTTAAAATGCACTTGCTTGTGTGTAATTTGGTCATATCAGATTCTGTGTTCAGATGCAAAAATAAGTTTCTTTCCAATTGAATAACAAGACATCTGTAAATAAACTTTTCAACAAATATTGAGTTTGGCCCGCAATTTTGTCCCAGTTTTTAATTTTGTCCCATTGTGAATTTGAGTTTGACACCCCTGCTTTAGGCTGTGCGTGCAGTAATAAGGAGACAGACACTGGCTGAGCCGGTGCATAAATGTTAGATTTTCTGGTGGTGTGCGATAGTTAAAGAAATATTATTTTTTTTAAAATAAAATACATCTTTAAATTTTGGCCAATGAGCTCTGGCACATAATAAACAGAAATACTGCTTCATAATTTCATGTACCTTTGAATCTACAGTTGGTCTTATTTAAAAAAGTTTTTTTTTATTAAAACTATCATAGCTGGAGTGTTAAAAAATAAAAGTGCCATAAGATATTTGGAAGTTGTTATTTTATTTCTATTACCCAACAGTTTTCCAATTCATGTTTGTTCTGTTTTTGTTTTTTTTTTTTCCTCTAGGAATCATTGAGGCGTGACATCCTTCAGAGGTTTTACGATCGACTGTCAAGCATCTTGGAGAGGCAACCTGTTGATGGGGAAGGGCTATAGTTTGCTTGTCACTTTCTGCTCTTTCTGATCTGAATACTATTATCCAGCAGGAAAGAGATAATCAAAAGACATTAATAACAGTACACGTTGAAAGAGGTTCTCGTGGCCGTCACCGATTGGCGGTGTCGCGAGAGGCTCTCAAACACCTTGTGGAAATGGGTCTGCCAACAAGTGTCATTACCAAACTCCTTGGTGTATCCAGAGCAACTCTATTTAGACGGATGTCTGAAAATAATATATTTATTTGTATATTTGTATCTGCCACATACAGTAAATGCAGTGATGAGGAACTAGATTATTTTATCACAGTAATTAAGAGCAACATGCCAGATGCTGGGTACAGGGTAGTCCAAGGTGCTCTACTTGCCCAGGGAGATAGAGTACAGTGGGACCGACTGTATGCATCCATGCATCGTGTGGACAGTGCGGGTGTACTTGCTCGAATGACACATCTGGGATGTGTAGTGAGAAGGACGTACACAGTTCCTTGCCCAAAGTATATGGTGCACATTGACACCAATCACAAGCTCATCAGGTAATGTCTGTGTGTAATTGGAGATGTTATTTTTTGTTTTGGGAGTTACATTTTTAATTGTCTGTGTTTTATCGGTTTGGAGTATAATCTGCTTGACTGTACCGCTCTCTTGTGGCTAGTTGGAGGAGTTACACCCTGTGGTTCTTATGAGCCATCTTGCACAGATTACACAAACTCACCCTTTATTAAACTTGCATGTAAAACGGTCACGTTTACTCCAACAGAAACAACTAATAATTTATAAAAACAATAAAAAATAACATGATTTATTCGTAGTTATGCTGAATAAACGGCTTTTTTTCAGAGGCAAATATCATTAAAACGGTGTTGTGCTGCATGCTGGGCCGTGCAGGCTGAGCAGAGCCGCTCCAGACCTCCAGACTTTATTTTTAGCGTGTTTTCCTGAGAGCAGGCGGAGCTAAGGACGCTGGGCTGGGATGAGGGATGCTGCTGGAGCAGGTGGAGACCGCCGATGTTTACGAGACTGCTTTTGGGGACGATCACAGGCAGCTGGAGAAGATATTCAGTCCTGGAGGCTGTAAAAGCCCGTCTCTGGAGCGCTTTGTGTTTGATTCCGGGCTGAAAAGGACAGATCTGAAAGGCTGAGACGATGATGCTCTATCTTTGGATCTGTGGCCGGAGCCGTTTTCTCTGAAACCTGATATTATGCAGGAAGCGAGGGAGACTGGACGGATTACAGGGGAACGAAGCACCGGTTCAAAAAGCGTCTTGCACAGTGGCAGGTAGGTGGATGCGTGAAGCCATTCCCAGGCCTGATCCAGCGGTGTTGGCTCTGAATCAGAAACAGATTTTAAACATGTAGAGTCACGTCCAGGCCCTCGGTGTTGGTGAGCCTCTGCTCGTTTCCCACAGCCAGTATTTACATTTTCATCATCTGATTTGTGATGCTTTTCTTTGGCTTTTGTATGTCAATGTGTTTGTAGGTCGATTGTGTGATGTAGAGTGAAAAATATGGCTATGAGTAATCAATTTCTCTCATCCCAGTAACTCTGCCAAAAATAGCCCCCCTCCATTACAGGACTGTGGTGTTTCTGTGTTATTTCACTCCCCTGAGGGTGGAATGTCTCATCTGCTGCATGAATATGTGTTCATGCATCTCTGAACATGCAGCGTGACCCTCCCCCAACAGACTGCATCTCTTAAGCTTTAGACTGAATGCTACAATCCGCTAATTGAAACCTTTTCTCTGTTTTGTCTACTTCCCCTTATGCTTCATCCCTCCTTTGATCTTTACCCCCTCCATCTCTGCTTCTCCTCCCACAGTCTTAGCCAACTATGGTTGACCCCTTGGATGCTGAGGAGCAGACTCTGTGTAAAGGCTCACACCTTGACCCACCAGTGCTGGCCACTGAAGACTCTCGACTTCTAGAACAGACGGAGGAGACAACAACAGAGGACGATGGGGATGCCAGCTTCGAGACGCCGCCCACTGGCAGCTCAGAGCCGAGCCCCTGCCATGCCGCTGCCCCAGCAGGACCAGAGGTCACCAAAGAGGAAGCAGCACCTCAGCAACCACAGATTCAGACAGGCGCAGATCTGTCCCCCAAAATGCACCTGGACCTGTACAATTTTGACTCGCCCGATGCCGAAGGCAGCCGCTATGTGTTGACGAGCCCCCGCTCTCTGGAGGCGTGTGCTCGATGCGGGGTCAAGCCCGTGGAGCTGCTGCCCCGCCCGCTCACCGAATTCATCCAGGAGGCTCCTGGGCGGTCCATGCGTGTTGCGACGGGACTGTTTGAAGTCTACGAGAGGGACAGACATGGAAAACTGAGACAGTGCAGAGAAGAGAGGGAGAGGATCGTCAGAGAGGAAAAACGAAGGATTCTTCAGGCTGCGGTCAACAGTAGCAACAGTGCATCTTCATCCACTGGGGAAAAGTCCACACCTGGCTTTAGTCTACCTCCTAAATCTGGGACCGCAGTCCCTAGCGCCGTCCTGGATGTGGGAGCTTCCTCTAAAGTCACTACGTCAAGTCCAACCTCCAGACCAGGCGTATCCCTTTCATCAAAAGCTCCCACCCCCAATCTCAGTACCTCCCCGAAATCTGTCCCCAAAGGATCTACCCCATCTTCAAAAACTGCCTCCTCAGCTTCTGTACCAGCTTTTAAGACTGCAGTTCAAGGATCTACCAAACCTTCCAAGTCATCAGAACCTGTCAAAAGAACGAGGCCGCTCTCATCTGGCCCTCCACCAGTGCTCAGGAAATCCTCTGGTGGTAAATCCTCCAACACTTTCCCCAGGTCAGCACCAAAACCTCCTTCCTTCCCCAGAGCAAAATCTACATTAACGTCATCAGTGTCCAAGCCTGCAGTCCATAGCCATGGTGCTCCTCTGAATGGAGTAAGTAGAGGGCCGTTCTCACAGCACAACGGTCATCTGGGGTCACACTTAAAGATACGAGGAAGGAGTCATTCATTGGAGTCATTACAGCGAGCGATGAATCCTGTCTGCTCCTCGACTTCTACCACCACAGCCACTACGTGCACCTCATCAGAGTCAGGGGCTTCTTCTTCTTACAGTTGGGATGGTGTACGAGACCACTGGGCTAAGTTCTCCAGCCCTCGAGTTCGCACTATGGCCACCTTCAACTCCCTGATGGGCCGCAGCCTCAGCCTTGGCGACCTTAGCCACTCACCTCAGACGACACAGAAGGTGGAGCGCATCGTGAAGGAGGTGAAGCGTCGTGGCCTCAAGGCCGTGTCTGAGCGAGATCGTAAGATCGCAGCCTTGATGCTCGCCAGATTCCAGGAGGAAGACATCATGAGTCAGACCCGCTATGTGGCTCACCTTCAGTGGGACAGCGAGCGCAGGCTGGAAGAGCTGCGGCGCGAGCAGGAGGAGCGGGAGAAGCAGCGTGCCGTGCTCCAGTGCCAAAGAGTGTGGCAGACGCAGGTGTCAGTACGCCAGCAGAAGCTCAGCCAGCAGGAGCAAGAGTCTGTTGCTGCCAAACTGCGACAGGCTGAGGAGCACGAGGAGCGGTGGAAGGAGCTTGCAGAGCAGCAGGAACGCAGCCGTCTGCTGAAGTTACAGCAGGCAGCACGGGAGGAGAAGCACAAGAAAGCTCTGCAGGAGCAGAACCTGAAATCACTGGATGAGGAGAGAGCTGCCATGCTGGAGCAGGAGAGGCTGCTGCTGAAGGAGAAGCTCACCATGGCCGAGCTGAAGAGGCAGGAGAAAGAGCACCAGGCCCAGGAGGAGAGGAGAGGTCTGAATAAAGCCGAGAAGAGGCGTCATGCCGCCCTGATACAAGAAATTGCTCGCAGAGAGCAGGAGGAGAGGGATGATGCCCGGAGGGCAGCGGAGGAGAAGCTGAGCCGCTCCCTTGAGAATTACGAGCAGATCGTTGAGCGTCGAGGGCAGGAGCTGAAGGAGAAGGCCAAGAGAGAAGAGAAGCAGATCCAGAAAGCCCGCAAAGCAGCAGAGAAGCGGGAGAAGCAACAGCAGCAGCAGCTAGAGGCCCGAGTAAAAGAGGCAGAGAAACGAGCCCATCAGGCGGCTCTGGTGGCCGAGGAGAAGGCCAAGGAGAAAGCCAAGAAGGCCATCCAGAGTCGGCAGGAGAAAGAAAAACTCCAGAAGCTCAACAGGCAGCGTGTGGAGGAGGAGGAGAGGCAGAGGCGCCTGGAGCTGGTCCAGTCCATCGAGAGGAAGCTGGAGAAGAGTGAGCAGATCTTCAGGGAGAAGAAGGCGGTGCTGGAGAGTGCGCGCTCAGTGGCGCGAGCTTCTTTCCATGTGCGGGACAAAGTCAGAGAGGAGACTAACACGCGTACTTTTGATAAGATGGCTCTGGAAGCTCAGCTCAAAGCCAGTCTCGATGAGAAAATAAACCCATAGCTTTGGTCCTGTGCTCGGCTCCAGCCTCCATGATGGCCTCCGTCACGCAGCAGGTTCACCCTTCTACCTTTGAACACCCACAGTGTTATTCCCACTGTATATGTCATCCATTTCTACCATTATTATATGTTCTTTCAAAGTTCAGTTTATCATTGAAGCATCAGGACGATGAAACATATCAGCTGTTACTCGCCCGTGAAGCCCGCAGCCGTGATGCTGCAGAAATGACATTTAGAGCAGGGAGAAAAGCTGCTTCGGCACAAACACCAACCCTTCTCTCCTCCAGGTTTGCCCTGTGCTCCGTCTACTCCAGCCACCCGGCTGAAAGCTGTGCAGGAATGAAAAGAGTCATTGTAAATCCAGAAGCACAACTCTATGACCACTGCAGGGGCTTTTAAGGGTACACTCCTTTAAGAGCAAAAGCCAACCTGAGGAAAAGGAATGGAACAGACGACGGCCCTTTTGTAGAAACAGCGCACTTAGAGCGAAGGCTGGAAACTGTCCTCACCTCCTGATGGAGCAGAGCAGGGTGACTCCCTCTGCTTCCAACAGCCACATCAGAGTCAGCAGGTATGTGCTTTCATTACTTTATGACCTCGGTTTTTGTCTCCTATACCAGTGAACATTCAAAGCTGGCAACCATTTTAAAGGCCTAATCCTACAGTCTCACAGAATTTAATAAAAATGAGGAGAGAGAGACTCAGGGGTGTTTGCCTTCAAATGCAACTGCTGCCATAGCGATGCAAATCAGGATGTGGCCGTGAGAAGTGCAAGCTGGTGTTAGATTTCTGCAATGCTCCTCATCCGCTGATGTCCATCTGCAGCCAGAAAATAGATGGTTTCAGACAGTCACATGTCTCTTACCTGCTTACTGCTGAGATATAAGCCTGAGCAAAATGGACCAGTGGGCTTACAGCTGACTGAGCACTGCTCCAAGCAGATAATCATGAGGGAGAGGACAGGATGAGACAGCAGATCTGCAATGCAGGTGCTTGTTGTGAGGCTGAAAAATTACAAAGGTACTGCAAAATGCAGCAGCTGCATTAAACAAAGTCTGCACAAAAATAAAAAGCTATTAGAGCACTGCACTGAGTTAAAACTACTCAAATTATTTAGAGCTTCACTGAGTTGTGGTTAAAGTTATTCCAAACTAATAATTTGCTTAATTTCTATGTTTTTGTATGCTAACCCTAACCCTTGATTATAAAACTAGGGATGCACTTAAAAAAATCAGGTGGTGACTGAAATACTCTGCATGATCAGCTTATTCTGTGATCATCCAGTCTGAAACTCTAAAAAACAATTTTCCCAGGTCCGTGAATGCACCATTGCCAAGCAGCAATAAAAAATCTGACACGTTTCCCAGTTTGTTGTCTCACCATCACTAAGTGCGTAATCACTAGTGATAACACATGTTCAATGTGAAAGCAGATCAGAACACTACAAGAAACAGAAATCTGTATCTAAACCAAAATCAGTGCATTTCTATTTATTACTATTTGATCTGCAGAAAAAAAAATATTTTAGTTGTTTTTATATATATATAAAAGTCCTAAAAAGTAAAATGAGTAAAAATGTACATTCTGTTATTCTCACAATAAAGTGAAAACTGTTTATTAATAACAATAATTTTTTGTTCTTTTTATGATGTGTTCTTTTTAAAAATGCAGTAAAAAGAAAACATGGAATTAGTTTCCAGGCTGCACAGTGGTGCAGTGGCTAGCACTGATGCCTCGCAGCAAAAGGGTTCAAATCCCGGCCTGGGGTTTTTCTGCACGGAGTTTGCATGTTCTCCCTGTGCATGCGTGGGTTCTCTCCGGGTACTCCGGCTTCCTCCCACAGTCCAAATGACTGTCAGGTTGACTGTTCTTTAAATGATCCGTGTGTGTGTGTGTGTGCGCGCGCGGGGGCTTGGTTGTTTGTTCTGTGCGTCTCTGTGTTGCCCTGCGATGAACTGGCTACCTGTCCAGGGTGTACCCCGCCTGTTTGTCCAGAGACTGCTGGAGATAGGCACCAGCCCCCCGCGACCCTGCGTGGATAAGCGGGTACAGAAAACGGATGGATGGAATCTATTTCCTTAGTGTGTCTAGGGAGCCTAAGTCTCCTCCCTTTCCCGTCGGCTCGTGGGTCTCCGTAAGAACCAAAAAATGAACGCAAGTCAACGGGGCTAAAAACGCTATTTTCTAATCCGCTTTGCCTTACGCCCTGGATCGCACTTATGTTGTACTGCAATTTAAATGAAAGGTAATGATGTGTGTTTTGACCACGCCATTTACATACTTTGAGATTTATCAGCTTGTAAAAGTTCGTAATTAGCATGGCTACAAATAAGACGTCGGTGCGTCGCATATATGATGTCACCACATAATCTCTTCTCCCCTAGCGTAGCTGCTACTTACCACATGACCAGATTTCCTCCTGATGGAAGGATTTGAAGGTCTCTGAACTTACAGCCCTTCTCCCTCAGTCTTCTCTGTCTGGTTCGATGACGTCACTTTTGTGAAGTGCATTTGTAATCCTGGGCTTATTTTAACACAAAACCTAAAATAACGTTTTCCCCCATTTGAAAATAAGCGCGTTCTTGGTATCAAAATGCTTCTTTAAAATTCACAGACATCATATGTGAAGAGGAGTTAGAAAATAGTGTTTTTAGCCTCGTTGACTTGCATTCATTTTGTCGTTCTTCTGGCGATCAGTGGTCCGGAAGTAGATGGGCTCCCTCTTCTAAATTTTGAGGTCTTTTTCTTTGAATTTGTTTACTTGCTGCAGACATGACCAGTGAAAATCAGGACCCATAAAAACATCCAGGAGCAGAATGATCAGTTTTATTACAGTAAATAAACAATCTGATTTTATCCGTTCTTCTTATCTTCTGCAGGTCTTGGTGATGAACGGAAGCAGATGACAGATCATATCCTCCCACTGAGCTTCATCCAGACTTAATAGGGTTGAAATGCATCAATTTTGAAGCTTTTTTAATAATTTCATTTATTTATTTATTTATTTATTCATTATTTACATTTATCATTGCATTGGGTTCATCAGCAGAGAGGACCAGGGAACAACACGAATCAACATGAACATGTTCCAAAAACAGCTTTATTAGCATCAGTATATGTTCCCTTTTACCTTTTTCTTACATGTGGGCTTTGTTTGCTGTCATTTCTGGTGTTATGTTATTAAACATTTGTATATTATGATAAATCTCTTCTTTCTGTTAAATTATTGTTATTATCATAAACTCTTAAAGTGCTGCAAAGAACCAGAGCAAACTATCAAAAACAAAAAAGGTCAACTTCATTGAAAATAAACATGCAGCAAATGATTATTTCTGACTATAATCGGTCACTCTGTGTTTTTTCAAGCAGGCTGCACAATAGTTTCCTACACCTATGTCCTGCGTTAGCTTCTGATAGAAAATAGACGGTGAAACTCTAGGATTAGAAAATCCGGACAGATCTACGTCACATTCATGGATTCACCCATCTTGGATCATGACGGGGAAGGCCGTTGTTTGTTTAACAGCCAGGAAACAGCAGAGAGCATCCCACTTGTAGAAGCTAACCGTTAGCATTTAAAATTTTAATCATTTTCTTGAGCCAGTGTGTGCTAAAATGACCCTTTACATGGTTAATGCAATGTCACTCAGACCCCTACCGCCCCGTGGCCAGAATATCACACTTGCAACTTCAGATTGGTGGGCCACTCCGTGTAGGGCACACCTGGCGCTGCAGTCTGCTTCCAGCACGGTTCCTGCTTGTTTTAAATTGTGAAGACAACTGATTTGTTTAGTTTAGGGATTAAAAGATCCTGTAAAGATTAGAGCCTGCTGCACACGTGGGCAAACGGCCTTTGTGTTAAGCCTCGTGAGACGCTGAGGTGAATATCTGACCGTTTGATATTTTCTGCCTCACGGTGGGGGGAGGGGGGGGGGGGACTCATCGTGTGCGCACTACGTGAGCTACTGGCTGAGCTGAAATATTCTAGTGGCCAATCAAATTGCATTCTCCACTCACTTGATTCCAAGATGGCAGCCCCCTCTCTGCATGTCAGAAAATAAACAAAACAGAGACAGAAATGGAAATGGAGGAAATGCTTCTACTAGTTTTGTTGATGAGGCATCGCCGCCACCGCCATTTCAAGGTTCGGACAGTATGGGTACGGTGGCTGGAAAGAAGGGCCAGGCAAGGAGTTTATGTCAATCTACTCCAAAAGATGCACCTTGAAACCCAGAATCCTTCCGACAGTACCTCTACCTGGATCCTGAATCCTTGGAAACACTGGGCCTATCGATCCCTAAGGTACCATTTTGTTTATTTTTCTGGCATGTGGACAGACGGGGCAGGGGGCTGCATCTGAATCCATCTTGAAATCGTGTGAGCTGAGAACATGTTTGAGTGGCCACTAGAATATTTCAGCTCAGCTGCAAGCTCACGTAGTGCACACACGGTGAGTTTTTACTTCCCGTGAGATGGAAATGTTACGACCCCAACCTGGTCTAGGATCCAGGGAGGTTTAACACAGAAACGTGAGAATAAAAAGAAAATGATCTGACACCAAGTCACAACCAAAGAAGAAGTTTTATTAACAAAAAGCGTCCCTTGGGGAGAAAACCTGTTTAATAAACGAAGGGGAGTTTAACTTATGCTGCAGAGAACAAAAGATGAGGACTTAAGTAACTTAAAGAGCAATAAAACGAGAACTAAAACTCACTGGTTCCAAAA